GATGGTGGGATGAAGCAGGTGTATACACAGCTCTGCTCTTGTTTATGTTTGGGAAGGCTTAGCCTCCTCTGGCCTGTAATACCCACCACCCTTGCTCTGACTAGTAGGTCTGGTAGCCCATGACCTGGCCATGACAAGATGCTGCAGAAGTGGGGATAGCTTGTAAAGGCAAATCAAAGTCAGCAGCATGGGTGCTGTCCTCATCACATGTTCTTCAGTTTCAGTCACCACCCTGAACACATGATAGTTTGTTATATAATTAAGCTGGAGTTAAGATTGAGTGTACATGTCAGTAAGTTAAGGGTAGGGGTGAAAGTAGCGTACAGGACTTACCGGTACTGCTGGAGTCCTGAGGGGGGCGTGGCCTCATCTGGAAGAGGTGGGGCCTCAAAATTTAAAGAGACTCTGAAGAGAGGAGCAGGCCCCCTTCCCCACAGGAGCAGTTTTGAAGGCCTGGCAGACGGGGCTTCCAGCTGTAGCAGGCCAGAGAAGGGGGGGGTGTGGGGATAGGAGGACAGAGAGAAGAGCTGAGAGGTTGACTAGCTAGATCACGCAGGGCCTCACAGCCCAGACTAGCACGTTGCCACATTGAAGCAAGCAGATATATTTGAGCAGCCTTTCGGGGTGGGTTGGAGTATGGGGTGGTAGTGATGAGCAGCCCATCTTTGAACAGGAGCCTAACCCAGAGCCAGAGGTCAAGCCCATGGAATAAGGGGGTGTGCTTGCCCAGAGGATGGGTGACTGTAAGAGCTACGGTTGGAATGCTGGGACAACTCAAAACTACTTTCCTATCACCTCAGCCAAAGCAGGAGGCAGCCCCGCTGGGCAATCACACGATCAGTCGCTTCACTCCAGCCTGCAGAGCATGGAGTGCGGGGGGGGAGGAAGTGCAGCCTGGCCGTAAAGGAAATCAGCTCCGATCAGAGTCAAAAAGGCTCCAAGCAGTGAAGAGAAGCATGAACTACAAGCTCTAGTAACTGCATCACCTTATGTATGTAGCCCTCATCCCTAGAAGGACAGAGGTGGTTTCATTTTTACCCTGCTCTTCTGTTTCTCATTGCTTCCATCAAAGCCTCTCCACGTACCACATCTGGAGGGTTTTCAAACTCCAAAGCCCCAGAGGATGTTTCTTTCAGCCACTTGTGCCCTCATCCTGGTCTGTACCAATGTTATGGGGGCTAGCGCCTGCGTGGTGGGTTAGGATTTGTGTGATCACTGGTGGAACCACATGACAAATTGTATTCATCACACATCTGCCTCGTCTGCACTCGGCCCACCCACCTGGCCCCACCCTCAGGGCCTCGTTCAAACATTCCAGCGCTTGGAGCAGCTTCAAGCATTTGCCATAAAAAATTAAAACATCCAGCTTCCCAGAGAAAAGTTTCTGCTTTTAGGCATTCCTCTTCCTTCCCCTCCCCTGCCCCCCCCCCCAAAAAGAACAGTGGCTTCTAAGGTAGTTCAGTATCAGCCTCACTTCACAGAAGGGGAACTGAGGCACAGAAAGATTAAGTGACTCTCCCATGGTCATTAAGGAAAGTTTAGGGCAATGGGAGCCCTGAGTTCAAAACCTAAGTCCCAGTGCCCTGACCGCTATCCTTCCTTCTTCCATGAGATCATCCTTCCTTCCATCTCCCAGTAAACAGCTGCTAATCTGCTGCCATGAGACCTTATAATTTACATTCAGGAACTCAGGGCAGAGGATCCCAATCAGTTTTCTCCCTTCCCTGCCCCCACATATGATTGGTTCTGCTCTTTCTTGCTCATCCCAGCCCTTCAGCCCCCTAAAGCATTTGTCGCTCCTCTTTAAATGTTTCTCAACATCCGTCTCTCTGGTGTTGACTGAAATGCTTCCTGCTAATTCAAGTTCAGCTCATTACAACTGGTGCGAGAGAGAAGCAGAGGAGAACGCAGATCACAATGGGTAGAAGGATTCTCACTAGATGAGGCTCAGATGTGACGATACTCCTCGATCGCTGCTTTGCTTTTGGTCAAGGTGGTAAGCTTTGTATGGGATAGTCTTACATTTATTATAGCATTCGGCTCATCCCAGAGCGTGACAAAAATCATTTCATCACAAAAAATTAAGACACTTCTAGCACTAGCATACTATGTGCATTAGCCAATACATATATTAGGGTGGTATACGCCACATTAATATACAAAAAAGTGTTGGGAAGTTATGCTAACAATGTATTACGCTCGCCCTACAATTCTGTTCACCCATGTCAAGTATCCCTCAATACTGTGCAAAGCTGAAGTCAGCTTTGGCATTAGAAAACAGGAAACTTGTCCAACAAGGCAAAACATCAGTGCTCTGCCTCAGTACAAGCGAGGGAGGTACATTTGCAGACCAGTATCTGGAATGTAGTATCTAAAGAGATTAGAAAAGTGCAGAACAAAACAAGACAAGGGACTGTTATGAACTGGCGGGTTGGATTTTAAGGGAGGTATCAGGAATTTTGTAACTTGTCAAACCATACCATAAATATAGCTAGTTTAAATGCGTATTTCCAAAGTACACCTTCTGTGTAAGAAACACTGCAAGAATTTGCTTCCCAGAAGGAGAGTATGTGTGTCACCTTTTTGTATTAGCTCAAGACAAAACAGTACAATATATTTGGTTATTTGGGCTCTTCAACATTTTAACGAGCGAACCGTGAGTGTAATCAAACAACTGGCTACGTCTGAGTCAGTAAGTGCTATGCAGCAGTGGAAGGGAGGACGACTCAGTCGAGAATACTAGGCAAATCCTTTCCCTATTTGGTATGTAAGCTCTCTGGGGCAGGGTCTGTCTTCATTGGGTGCATGCAGTGCTTAGCACAATGAAACCTCCTGATTCTTGCCTGTATTGCAGTAGTGCCCAGAAGCCCCAAATGAAAACATTTTGGAAGAAGTGCCATGGCAAACTACTGTCCCAAGACCTCAATTTACAGTCTCTTATGAAATAGCCTACTATATTAAACTTCACAGAACAGGTTTTACCTTGATCAGAGGGGAGGATGTGTTGATTAGATCCTGTTGGGATTTGAACCAGTTGATCCTGGGAATCTAAATGTTTCAAACCTGATGCTTAAGATCACTAAACCCTCCCCTTGGGTTGAGAATAAGACATTGTGTCAATCTTCCACTGCCTTCCAGTTTAAACGAAAATCAGAAGGCAGAAATGGAAGAGAGCTGCTGGGAAAAATTTTCAAACGTGCTTAAGTCTCACCGAATTTCAATGGGAGTTGGACACAATTTTACCCATCATGCTATCTAATCCAGCTCCCTGTTCCCTATGCTTTTGCAGGGCTTTGTCCAGCCTACCGTAAAATGACTCCATTGACAGGGGTTTCCACCACTTCACATTACAAGCTATTCCAGTCTTAGACCTGAACCAGGAAATGATAGAGTATGTGCTATTTTTTTTTTGGAAAGTCAACTATGTCTGTTATGTGCATGTTTGTTTGCTTGGTAACAAGTACCAAAGCTTTTAAAATTACCTCCACTATTACAAAACAGAAGTATCGAGAATAAATTCGGTTTTCACCACTGTAAATAATCTTGTATCTCAGATTGGAGCTGGTCAAATATTTAGGAATTGTTTACATGACAGTTTTCCCCCTTGATCAATTAAAAAGCATTCCTAAATAACACATATTAATCCTGCGTGTGAATCAGTGTTGAATAAAGAAACGCTTCAATAAACACCAAAGAATCACACGGAGATTTGCTACTACGAAGGGAATGCTTTATTAGTTACAACACTTCATTCAGCTAAATCCACATAGTAATCCATACAGAAATACTTCAGAAAAAAAGTGCAAATTCTCAGTCTGTATTTATAATACACCCCGATTTCTTAAAAGAAAAGGCATTTGGAGTAACAAATGGAACCAGACTAGGTAACAGATCTAAAACGCTCCTGTGTTCTAAATCGAGAGCAATGACTTTAGGTATTGTGGGTGCAATCATCTTGGAAGAATCAGCCATTGAGCATTCATGGGAAAAGCGGCTATACGCACACTGGGAATCTGAGGCGCTCGGAATGCCCGGGCTTCCCCATGCAAACAGCACCCCTCTCTTCCCTTGGGCATGGTAAGAAATGCTCACAAATGTTTGTGCCTTTTAAAAGTTCTAGGTCAAAAATCAATGAAAGAAATATCCACCAACTCCTCACTTGATCTTTTAGGATCAATAGTTTCCTGAACAATGGCAAAAATCTTCCCCCTTGTGCTGAGGCCAACTAGCTGGGCTGGGCGTGGAGGACTGGGATCCTTCTGTCCCTCAGGCTGTGGAGTGACAGCAGACTCCCTACAACCCAGACTTTGCAGTAGCCATCACTGCTTCTGCGCTGCACTCCGGTGTGGGGAGCTGAGAGCCCACTCACAAGCTCCAGACACCTCCCTGTAACAGAACACTGAGCTTGGGGCCTTTCATGGAGAAAGGGAGACAGGATTTGGCCCTCGATCTAAATGCAAAGGAATTGCTCCTGTGGTAAAAGAGCAGTGTCTTGGCAAATGCCTCTGCCATTTCAGGTTAGACACTGTCTAGATGGAGTCTCAAATACATCCCAAAGCAAGAAGCCGTAAACCCATAGGGCCCTGATCCTACAGTGTGTGTGTGTGTGGGGAGGCTCATCTCACTTTAACGGGGCTGTGGGGGGAACAGAGATATGCCCACACACAGCCAGTTTTAAGGGTAGGCCTAAACTTTACTCATTACTTAGCACTAGAGGCTTTGCCCTGCCTGAAGCTAGCAGCGACCACGCTCTTGCTTTCCATGCAAAAGTTTCAAGGAAGTTCCTAGAACTCAGGGTGCTTCATAAAACATCCCTCGCCCCCAGCTATAGGGAGCAAAAGCCAACACCGCTGGAGAGGCAGAGTTCAGGAATACTAGAGGGGCACTGACTGAGTAGAAGAATTTCAGAGGAGGAGAGGGCATGTTCCCCCAGGTAAACACATGGCAGTTTTCTTAAAAATTTCCAATCTCTTTGGCCTTTTTTTTTTTTTTTTTTTTTTAAAATAAAAGGGGAAAATTGAGTGAGAACTGAAATTGCTGGTATCCTGGCCTATGTGACAGCGGGGGATAAAGGTGCTACCTGAGCATTGCAGTACTAGGGATAGCATTATTGCTGGCACCTCTGCGGGCAGGCACCCTGTGAATGGAGGAATGCAACACTTAAGCCCACTCCAGAGCTGCATGTTGCTGCTGTGTGTTATCACAGACTACCCCAGACTTCAAAGCAAAGTTAGCCAGCATTTAACCAACCTGCGCCAACCACACTGAGGGAGGAAATGCCCTCTTCTCAAGCCACAAAGCGAAAGTGGGTATCTCACTAAATACAAATGCAGAGCAATCTTGTCGCTAATGGGTTACAAGATCAACCCAGTAGAAGACTGGATCCTCCTCAGGTCGCTTCCCTTCACTGAAATCTTCTGTCATATACACAAAAACAAAAACGCCCTGGGAGTCCGTGATTGGGCTTGCATTCTAAAGGCGCATCAGTATACGCCTTCTCTTGTGGGCTTCCCTCTGCCAAAACCCCAGGTTAAGTTCCTTAATTCCCGTTCAAGACTTATTGAATCAAAACATGAGCCGTGAACCCTGCAGGTGAACTGTATCAGGTTCAGCCGTCAGCTGAGAAAGATCATTTTAGTGTATTCCATTTATTCAGTCCCATTTTCATGGGAAAGCATCCTGACTGCAAAGACAGAAGAGGAAGTAATTGTACTTCTGACTACAGTAAGAGATTCACCTACGTTTTGCTTTAGGACATACCTGTAGTCATTCAGTGCTGCACTGCCAGGAGAGAGGGGATGCACGCATTAACAGCTTTTGCTTTCCACTCCTGCTGCAGCTCCAAGTCTCCTCCAGAGCTGTGACAAGCAGTGATATTATCACTGAGGGAGGTGGATAACAGCTGTTGATTCCCTTTTACTAACTGAACAGCAAGCACTTCACATTCGGAAGAAGATGGTGCTTATACAAAACACAAATAGAAGAGGTGTATTATAAATAGTGTCAACTTGCCTGGCAAATTTCTTATGCTTTAAAGGATCATATCCTAGTCCCATGGAAGTTCTGCCACAGACTTGAATGGGATAGAGATTAGGCCTCTGTATGCAGCAGTGCAAAAAAAAAATAATAATAATGAATGAAACTACTCAAATGCTAGACACAAATAATCACTGGCTCTATCATACCTGATGAATCGCTCCACACCAACCTTTAAAAATGCATCTTAACAGGAAGCGCCGTAAGTCAGTAAACATCCAGACAAAAAAAGAACTGGTTCGGTTTAGAATTAGTCCCCTCCCCACACACAGTTTAAATATTTCTACAATGCAAACAAAACTATTAAAAACGCCATAACTGAAACTAGATTGTGCACAAGTTCAAAGTGCTGAGGAAGTAGGTACAGCAAAAAGTTACTCAGCAGTGAGGTAACAAGATGATCATCTTTCACAGTAACAAAAGTAGGGGAGGGAATGCAGAGAAAGGAAAGAAAACAACTTCTCCAAATGGAATAGTAGGGATACTTCAAGCATTAGACACATCAATGGAAAACAATGGTAGCAGCAGATCAAACAGCAGTAATTATTATACCCTTAGAATACAGTCATTCTGGTGCCCCACTTGCCCACCTTTCAAAAGCACTTCATCCATGATGTACTGCTTAAGAACTAAGGGCCTAATCATCAGTTTAAGAAAACCACTGATACTCAGCTCCGCCAGATTCATCCAGTCTCAAAAGCATTTTAAAACCTGCATCTTGTAAGTGTTCAATGGCCTGGTGCTCATGTTAAGATTTACCTAATACTGGATGAGATTCAGACTAGGGATGTAAATAGCATGTAAAAAAAAAATTACCGTGTAACCTATTAAAATTCTATTGGTTAAACGTTTAACTGGAGAACTAGGGATGCGGGGGGGTGCTGTAGCAACCCCATGTTTTCTGTGGGGTCCCGACTGCTGGCCCTGTGCCCGGGGTCCCGGCTGCCGCTGGTGCCCAGCATTTGGGTGTGTGGGGTGGCAGCCAGGACCCCAGGGCAGCAGCCGGGATCCCAGGCACGCAGGGCGGCAGCAGAGTTTAATCATTAACTGAAACCGATAAGCATCAAGCTTATTGGTTATCCAGTTAAACTTTTGCATCCCTAATTCAGACCAGGCTCAGCTAACCAGCTACTAGGAAAGCAGATCTGAAAGCGTTACACAATTGTATGTGCTACACCATACCCAGAGCTGACCTATCCACATACACAACTCCATACACCTTTAATGTTTGGCTTTGTTCAAACCACGCACACAAAAAATGAATTGTTCTCTTCTGAATTACAAAAAAAAAAAAAAAAAAAAAGATTCAAAACCCCAAGGACCTGATCCTGCTGCCAATGAAATTAATGGCAATACTTCCACTCACTTTAGTGGGACCAGAATCAGGTCTGAAGTTTAACTTCCATCAGGAAAAAAAATGCAAAGTCCAAGCAGCAACTTAAAAAGACTTGCCCCACATATCTTTGGATACCTTCCAATTCTGTGCAATATTGTGAAAGCAGTAAAGCTTCATTGCTTTCACCCATTTCTCCCTCCCCCCAACCATCACACTCACAAATATACAATAATCAAGGGAAAGAACCCTTTTTGGCATAAGAGAAATTTCACTCAATTGTGTGGACAACTTGGAAATCTCACATAAAATAAAAAAAAAAAATAAACATTGCTTGTAAATAAGAATCTGTGCGACACAGACAGCTTCCTGCAGTACATGTACATTCATATATAGCTAAAATATGTATTTATGGTCATAGTGCAAAGCCTCTGTCAGCATGACATATCCAATATCTGCACAGAAACAGAAAACATGTTGTCCTTTATATCTGCCTAGCTGAGATATGTACAGCATCGTTCTGCACTGTCCTACAGAACCTAGCTATAAGGGTATAATAGAGGACAAATTCAAAGGTTTAACAATAGTGGCAAACAATGGTTTAAACAAGTGCCTCTTGGGATTTATGAACTCCGCTAATCACGGATTTGGAGCTGATTAATCAAAAAAGATATTACTAGAGTCCTATAACCATGTTTGGGCATTAGACACCATAGTATGTAGTTGTGTGTTCAATTGTTCTACTTAGTCTATTTTAGTACCATAGTGGCTAGATGTCCAGAGCATCACAGTTCTTATTTTAGAGATTTCTATCACCAGTTTAGAAAGACAGTGTCAAGCATTAGTCTGCACCCAGGGACATGAGCATCCAGAGGATGCCGAACAGGGAAGCAGTATGCTTTTTAAAATACACTTTTCCCAGACCAGGTGCTCACAGCAACCTTCCGAAGACTTTCCACATTAAGAAAACCAGGTTCTAGTCAAAGCAGAGTAAGGGACTAGTTAGGAATTATATAATTAGGAATAACAGCTAAAAACTTACACGAACAGATAATTAAAGTGAGTTTAGAGGAAGGATTGAATATTTGCAGGCAGGTAACATCAGGAGCTGATTTGTAGATGCAACTGTAAGTGAAGAAAAGTGAGAATAAAGGGGTGAATACACAGAGCCCATGTCTCACCTCCATTAGCTTCCTTTCTCATAAGTGAGCAGAGAACATGGACACTGTAGTTTCAAGATGTTAGAGAAATATTAACTGGATTTTCACATAGTCCTCCCAAAACTGCATTCACAAGGCATCTATATTTTAGAACAGCCTGCTTTTAGATGTTTTAATTTGAGATAATGTAGAATGAGATCCAGAATATTTTGGGAGAGTTTTATAAAATGAAAGAAAGCTAACTGATTAAACTATGCTCAATGGGCCTCTGGTGGTTAGAATCACTAATTTAAACAAGACACAGAGATTATTTCCCCTGATTAGGACATCCTGGAAAGGCACTGTTTGATCAGTCAAAAACCAAGCTGCAAATCAAATTGCATGGAATTGCCACTATTGTTTCACCGTTAAGTAAACATCAGTATTTTAAGATACACAGGAAAAAATACAATGCACCAAGAGCCCCTCTAATACTAGGATATTTAAATGGCTGAAAACCATATACTAGAACAACTTGTCTAAACTAGACATTTTAAATACTAAACTCTATTTTAACATACTTGTAAATTAAGACCTGTAACAGTAAATGATACCAACACACTCCACAGCAATGAAGAAGCCGGCTCATTTTGTCAGTCTTACGTGATTGCTAATTCCCTTCAAATACACTTAGAACTAACAGAACTTTTTGAATTCAAGTCTTTTCAAATCAAAGGTGCTAGGTATTAGTTCATTCAACATGAAACTCAGTGACTTCCGCTACAGCAGAGTTTAGCAGTCTTAACCCTCTGGAGTGCTACATTTTGAACTATGGGAGTTGACTTCATTATGCTAATGTACATGTGTCTTTTGGTCAAAAGAACATGAAATTGTAGATATTAACTCCCCCAAAATCAATTTGCCAGCCATAGCTTTTTGCTGGAAAACTGACAAAAAGATGCTGCCTCTTTATTGGTTTTAAGAATTTAGCCAGTTAGGTAACTGACACACACACGCACACACACAATTAATGCTAAACGGAGTTCTGATCTTGGTTCCTTTGTTCCACATGATACAGCGCAAGGAGAGTCACTTCTATAACAAACTGTTGGAGGAGATCTACACGGAACGCCAGATCAGTCCATTCTTCCTGGGCTCCAAAAAATTCTCAATCAAAGCTTCAATGACTTTCTGTAGTTGTTCTTCCAGAAAGGTTTTATCACTAGAGGGAGAAATCAAATGGCTGAAGTTAGAGTAATATCAAGTGATCTATCCCAAAAAAGGCAGCTCCAACACTTCAACAAACGGAGTTTGGTTAGATTTCAAAAGCCTCAAAAGTCCCTTAGAAGACTTCTTGCCATTCAGCTAATTGTAATGTTCCTACTTGCCGAGCTTCCAGACTTAGAGTCAATTTGTTTACTTTACAAAAAAAGACGATTGAGAGGTGACCTTGATTACAGTATACAAGTACCTTCCTGGGAAGAAAATATTATGTGCTAAAGGGCTCTTTAATCTAGCAAGGAAAGGCATAATAAGAACTAATGGCTGGAAGCTGAAGCCAGACAAATTCAAATTAAGCACAAATCTGAAACACTGAGAGGGATTAACCATTGGAACAAACTACCAGGGAAGTGGTGAATTCTCAGTGTCTTGGAGTCTTCAAATCAAGAAGACCTTCTGGAAGATATGGTGTAGTTAGTCCAACAAGTTACTAGGCTCAACATAGTGGTAACTGGGTGAAATTTAAGGGCCTGTGATAACAGATGGTCAGAACAGATGATGTAATGTTCCCCTTCTGGCCTTAACTCCTATGAAATCTAATTAATGAAAGCAGCAAGGGAAGAAAATCAAGACCAAATCCATTAAACGGAACAGCATGTCTCTCTCCTGCTACTCCCTGTTGTACAGTATATTTCCACTGGACGCAAGAGGAACTGACTCACTCAATCGGATATTAAGTAGAAATAGGTCAAATTAATTTATGTCCTGTTTAGATCAGTTTTGGCCATTTTGACCATGCCCAGGAGACTGGTTGCTCTTTAACCCTTGAAAACTTAAAATATAAACTAACATTGAAACAGAAGAGCACATCATCTAGCATAGTATAGTACGCAGTTCCTGATAGAGACCAAAGAATAATGCTTCAGAGGGAAGCATTCAACCTCTATCATTCACCTAGCTGAGCAGTGCTATTACAATCAGGGGAGGAAGTGCCTTTCTGATCAGCAGCTGCTGATCATCTTATGCTCTGGAGTAGAACGGCTTGATAGTCCTTCTAATTTCTATCCTGGAGAGTAAATGCAGATATTCTTCCTATCCATTTCAATGTCTAATCCTTTACAGAAAATTAAACTATTTCTTTGTATTGGTTACTAAAAAAACAAAACAAAAAACAAAAACCAGCAAGATGTGCACACACTTTAGAGGTCTGAGCCAAAGCCCAAACAAGCCAATGGAGTCTTGCCATTAACTGCAGTGGGGTTTGAATCAGGCCTTACCTAAGTAACTGGTTTACTGTCATTCCTCTCTAAGCTGCTCACTGGCACCATGTAGGTCAGTATGCTCTCCAGGGCAGGCACAGTGCCTTTGCTGGCAGATTACTGGGTATACAAAGATAGTTTGCCTTAGTTATTTTCTGCACCTCCCTCTTTTGAGCAGTTAAAACAGATCAGAAGTATAAAGAAAGTCAGACTGTTGGCCCAGTTCCAGCTTTAAAGAAAAAAGTCTTAAACAGATTGAGAACTCCCAAACTGACATGCATTAAGAGAAAGCATCCACACGAGTACATAGAAAAAGATCACATGCACCAATCAAAGAACTGGCAAGAGCGGACATTCAGAAAATTAGCATTCACAATGCCTGCCACTTCGAGTTGCTATTGCCCCGGCGCTAGTTAAACAGAAAATCTATTCAAGGACCTCAGTAAGGTAAACAGCTACTAACTGCAATGTGTAAACTGGAAGTTAAATATATTCAAACTTGGGGACCAAAAAGTATCTGCATAAATTTGAACGTAGGTGCCTAAGTAACTGACCTGACTTTCCCAAGGGCAGAACATCCATTGCTCTGATTGACAGCGTGGAATGAGGCCACTTGAAGTGTCTGTCTTTAAGACCCTCCCAAGTTTGAAAAGTAAAATTAAGTGTTGAGAGTGGCTCTCACTTGGGAGTAGTGTGGCCACCCTAAACCCCTTCCTTCCAAGAGCAATAAACACTGATGATATAGATGGTATGTGGTGGTATAAAACACTTCTCCCCCAAAAAGGCACTTGGGACACTAAAGAGGAGTGTTTGTTTTTTTTTTAAAGAAGTGGGAAGAGATGAACCAGATTGGCTATCAGAGGGAGGAGAGTTTCATATGCGCAACTTACCGACACAAAGATTTCATTGCCAGATAACCTAGGGTGCAATAGTGTGGGTGTTTACTACAGTTCATGGACCTCTCCGAATGAGCAGAGCTTGACTAGGAGTGAAAGAAAAGTCTTTGCTCCAGGATTAAAATTTTTTGTGGGGAGGGGGTTTGCAGCAGCAGACTTGTGAAATTCAACTCTTGTCCATTTTATCCACTGCTAATGGAGTGCTAGCATTAAGCCTCATGAGCCGATCCATGCACGCCAGTGGCTGGGGAGGCAGCTTAACAGCCCGAAACCCTCCACACCTGTCTGTCAAGTCATGTGCATTACACCCAGCAACTAGGGTGGGGAAGCTTTTATCTTTGGAGAATGCGTCTCTCCTAATGCCTGTTCACCTACACGTCTGTGGAAATATTTTGAATGAGACGGGTGCAGCTCCAATACTCACCATGCAAAAGTCAAGCGAAAGGAGTAAAGATTGTACAGAAAAGAGACAGATTCAGCAAACCAAGCGTTGACACAATGTGGAAAGTGGAAACCCTCACCTCTGCTCAGGCCGCGCACACATCTCTGCATAGTACTTGATCTTTGGCTCAGTTCCACTTGTCCGGAGGGTGGCAACACATCCATTTTGAAAGGTGAAGGTGATCATTTGACTGTTTTTACTCGCAGGCAACACCTAATGGAACAACATCATCATTTTAATCTGTACAATCAACATGCATCTCCCCTCCCTGCTATACTAAGTATTACGCATTGCATACAAACTCTGACACAACGCGAACAAGTGATCAATATGAAAATTAGTTTCCGACGACCTAGTGCTGTCTACATGGGGACTTAAGCCAATTTAACAACACTGCTCCGGAGTGTGGATTTTTCACATCCCTCTGACCGATGTAGTTAAACCAATCTAATTTTCTAATATAGACCAGGCCTTAATTATCCATGTGTAAAACTAATTTTAATTAAATTATGGATATCTTAGTAGAAATTAAAAAAAAATCTTTGGTGAATAATTCAATTGTTTAATTAATATTAAAGATTTTATCCACTGATGGTATCCTTTAAATCAAAGGTGTTTAAATTACCTTGAAGTTATTGAGCTTTTCTGTAACTTAAATGAGTTTCCTTTAATCAGCATCTTGAATAAAAAATTGGTTGTAAATCTCTGCGTTTCATTTACAGCTATTTGCTTTTAAAAGCTGGATAGGGAACATAGCTGAAAAACTTCACAGGATGGACGCTTGTTCGTATCTCCCCAAACATGGTTCAGTTACATTATAACCAAGTCAGTACTTTAAGCTAGTGGCCTTCTGCTAATGCGGATAGATATTAGCATTATTGTGAAAATTGTTTAAAGTCGTTCTAGTTTTTTATTTATGTGGAAAGGGCATAGGACAGACTTTAATTAATGTGAAAGATTTAAATTGTCTGCATCACTGTATTTTCGAGAAAACATACAATATATAAGAATTCTTCCACAGACATAGCTGTCGCCTTGCGGGGAGGTGGATTACTTCCACTGATGGGAGAACCCCTCCTGTCAACACAGGTAGTATCTACACCAGAGGTGGGCAAACTACGGCCCGCAGGACCATCCTGCCCGGCCCCTGAGCTCCCGGCTGGGGAGGCTAGCCCCCGGCCCCTCCCCCGCTGTCCCCCTCTCCCCCGCAGCTACGCTGCCGCGTGGGCAGCACTCTAGGCAGCGGAGCTGCGCACTCCTACCAAGCAGAGAGGCAGCGGGTCTTGCTCTGGGCGGCGCGGCAGCCAGATATGCTGCTCTGCATGGCATGGTAAGTGGTAATGGGCCAGGGCCGGGAGGTTGTATAAGGGGCAGAGGGCCCCAGGGGGCGGTTGGTTGGGGCAGTCAGGGGACGGGGGGGTTGGATAGGCGTGGAGCCCCGGGGGGCCTGTCAGGGGACAGGGAGCGGTTGGTTGGGGCGGAGGTTCTGTGGGGGTGGGGGGCAGTCAGGGGACAGGGAACGGGGGGGTGGGGGTTGGATAGGTGTGGGACCCCGGGGGGCCTGTCAGGGGACAGGAAGCAGGGGGGTTGGATAGGGGGTGGGGTCCTGGGAGGCAGTTAGGGTCAGGAGGTGGTTAGGGACAAGGACCGGGGGGGTTGGATGGGTGGAGGGTTCTGAGGGGGGCAGTCAGGGGGCTGGAAGTGGGAGGGGGCGGATAGGGGGTGGGGGCCAGGCTGTTTGGGGAGGCACAGTTTTGCAACCCCAATGTGGCCCTCAGGCCAAAAAGTTTGCCCACCCCTGGTCTACACTGAAGTGCTACAGCCATGTCACTGGGGTTTTTTAAAAGCATAGACAAGCCCTATGTTTATATCCCAAATACTGGATGTTTGGCATCGTTCTGTATCATAAAATCAACTTAATGTATTCATTCACAGGCTCAGAAAACACCTTGTCAAAGAGTTAAAACGTTAGCCACTAGACTAATTTTTTCTCTCAAAGTATTGTGTAACTCACCGATTTCTTATTAAGCTGGCTGCTATCATAGCCAGTGGTAACATCCCGTACGTGTAATATACCATAAGCGCCACAAGACTTTGGATAAGATTTTGGGGAATCAAAATTCCGAAGCTTTTCGAATACCCTTTTGATAGTAGGAGGTTCATAGCACAAGAAATAGGAGGTCTTTGAAATGTGATATCCATACCTACAAGGAAAAATATTATTTTAGTTACAAGAGTCACAGTCTTCTGCACACTTAAGTCTACAGAGTGATCAGCTATTCAGAACAGTGACCACGGTTCTCCATAGTCATGAGCATGCACACAGTATTATGCAGACACTGGATCTTTCAAGCAGATTTCACTGCATTTTTTGAAAACCAAGCTTACTTTTTAGAATATTTCAAGGCCTTCTGATTTTAAAAGATAGCCTAGACAATGTAAAATGATGCAGGATGGTCTCAGCCTGTTTGCAGACCCAAAACCACTGAACTTCACCAATTCACCCTAAAGTGAGGGTCAGTAATGAAGGACAATAATGCAAGTAACCCTTCACAGTCACAGAAATGGACTGAATCCAGTTGAGAGAAGAACTTGAAATTCATGCCACTAAAAATACAGGATCCCTGTTTGGAGCCTGAAAAATTGTGCCTGGAGCGGAGACCTGATCCAATGCCGACCTCCATGTTGCTATCCCTGGTCTGGATCCATAAGCCTTCTCTATTCTTCCTTGGGCCCCCAGCCTCCACACACTCCTCTAACTGCTCCTTTCTGGACCCACAGAGAAGCCTAATTCTTGCCACATCACTTCTTCCTCACCTACTACAGTCTCCTCCATTTTCCCCACTGTGCCTTTGGAAAGACACTGTAAATTTCCTACCTCTGTTGCCCCTTGCCAGTACTCTCCAAACCTGCTCTGCGCTGAGTTAGTCCTGCCACAATCTACACGTGACAGTGAACTCAGTCCAGCAGCAGTCAGAACGGTGGCCAGAAGCAGCACTGTGATGGGAGATATTTAAAAACAAAGGCTAATCCACAGGCCATAGCAAAGACAGCAACTTGATTTTCAAATTAAACAGATGACTACCACTTCCTTTTTAGACCAATGTGTTTATATTGCTCCTAGCATAACAGAGCCTCAAGCAGGACTGGGTATATGAGAAAAGTAAGAGACTCGTGAAAAGTTGTAGGGAACCAAATATTGATACAAACCCAGAATTTCAGATCTTGAAACAAAAAATGCATCAGTTTCCCTGGGATTTAACTGCAAATTCCAAGGTTTTCAATTATTCCTTTAAGTGATAAACCTTAGCTCGCCATGGAGCAGAGCCTAACTAATCCAAGTCAAGCTGTTTCAATCTAACTAGCAAACACTTCAAATAAAGAGGTATTTTCTTAGCACCCTCCAGGGTATTTTTTTTATATTTATATAGCATCTTTAAACCCTGATAGGATGGGAAATTATGGAACAAAATGGAGATGGAGAGGATACACAGGGAGGAAAGAACCAAACAACATAGCAAGACAGATGCTGGACTGGAATCCCAAGGGCAAAAAGACAATGAGGTAAACCAAGGATAACTTAGAAAAGCACAATGAAGGAGAACCGAAAGCTATTAAAGTGACATAGGCAGAAGCTATGCCTGCAGCAAGAGACTGTCAAAGATGGAAGGCAGCAATGAAGGTCCTGTGGTCCGCATGGAATAAAGAGGCATAAATCAAGTTAGTTTACACTCCAAACACTTTACAAACATATACGCAGAGCACCACTAAAATACAGAAAGGAGGATAACCAACACATAACCTAACAGTGGGAGAAGAAATCATTTTTTCTCGGGACAGACCCAAGGCAAACCTCTATTCTTACACAACTTTTTAAGATGCCAATTCAGAGCTGACTAGGCTTCCTCCATTCTTAAGGACTATCCTCCAACGTGACCTGTATGCAATTCTGTATCTACCTCAAGGACAGGAAGAGTTGAAGTGACCCAGAGAGGTTTTTAAACTGTGATTCCAGCAAGTCAAGGCATTTTATATCTAATGCTTTTCACTAAAACCATCCTTCAGTAAGGTTAAAGGAACCCACACTGTAAAGACTAATCAGATCTAATTACAAGTAGTTAACTTTAAAAAAAAAAGCATGTCCCAAAAAACACTTATTTTAAGAATAAGTTTTCAGATGCAGAGCTCATGGTTAATTTTAAAAACCTTGTGATTTTCTGGAAATCACAAATATACTCTAAATATGCCATTATATTTAGTCCCTCCACACCTTTTGATTCTGCCTGGACTTCTATACTTCATTTGCCCTCCCTCCTTAAACACAACATGAAAAGGAGCTCAACAAGAGGTCAGAACTTCTTTTGCAAGATGTTTAAACAAGCAAAAATTAGTAGGTAGAAGTGTATAATTTACCTCATTTAACAGTAGATTGACTAAGATGACAATTAACTAAAAACAAGGACTTTCTGATATTTATTCTAGCAGCCAAGTTTTTATATCCTCCCATTTTCCCCCTCCTAATCACCATGTTATCTGTATCAAACAGTTGACAGGCATTTCTCTGAACAGTGCATACACATTTAATGTACATTAATCCAGTTTACATTTATATGGTATTAATGTTTTATTTTGACTTATTTTGTACAGAAGAAAATGTGTCCTATTAGCAAGTGACAGATACTGTTCTGATTTTGATAGTGCTTAGGAAATTATGTTTGATTACGCAAAGCTCAAAAAAGAAATCATAAAGGAAAGTAGAGCATGTTAAAAAACAAAACAACTTACATTTCATATATTTCAGTTAGTTGCTGTGCCAATGTTAAGTTCTTGGTTTCCAGGTAAGATGCCATTTCAGCTATAACCACAGCTGCACTCACGCCATCCTTATCCAACACTGATGTGCCACACATGAAACCTGACAATCACAAGACTAGTGTTCAGAGCAGTTCTCTCCATAGATTTCCATTTGTTTTACTCGGATGAAGTGTTAAACTTCAGATGCCCTTTGTGCACACAAGACTAAACACGTGTCCAACTGCTGCCACTCTATCTATGCATATGCTACACCCATCTACCCAGTATGCTAGCCAGCCTAAGCATTATGGGGGAGGGAAGATGTATGGAACAACCTATCGGTTTCAGGTAGACAGAAGCCTATAGCCTTACCATGCTATGTTACAATCCCCCTCAGATCTCACACACTAAGGCTACGTCTTCACTACCCGCCGATCCGGCGGGTAGCAATCCGTCTATCGGGGATCAACTTACCGCGTCTAGTGAAGACGCGGTAAAATCGATCCCTGATCACTCTGCCGTTGACTCCGGAAATCCACCTCGGCAAGAGGCGGCAGCGGAGTCGGCGGCAGCGGTCGACTTTCCCGCGTCCTCACCGCCAGGTAAGCCGACCTAAAATACGCAACTTCAGCTACGGTATTCACGTAGCTGAAGTTGCGTATCTTAGGTCGGACCCCGGCTGTAGTGTAGACCCAGCCTAAGAAGGGTTAGTTTGAGCAAGTACACTTGTGTGCTGCAGGGAATGTTGCCAGTGATTTAGTAAGCAGCACTAGTCCCACAAATCAATCATGAATCAATGCCCCACAGTGCTGCCAGATGTGTAATCTTTTGGAGGACATCTAAAATCAAGGTCTTGACTCCTTGCAGCTGTTAAAGATCCCTCTACATTTTATGTAAAATCAGGGATGTTCAATCCAATTTGGACAATTGCAATCTGCTTCCCTAAACTCCACTTTCACTTTTAATTGGATCTACTTCCTGTGCTAAACTGATATGTTACTATGTGCTGCTAATCAGCTGCCATGTTCCATTTAAGAGGTGGATGAATTTCCATAGCTGAAGTGCACCCTATGTAGTCCTTATCTACCTCTAAGGGTTATCAACAGGCTTTGTGAAGTGCTCAGAGAGCCTCAGACGAAAGGTACTATAGAAGAATTGCCAACTATAAAGGGATTATAAATTACCTAACAGAAAGTTAAGTGTTTTAGAGATGTTATAGCTGTGTTGGCCCCAGGATATTAGAGAGAAAAGATGAAAGAGAAGCATTTGACTTACACAGACTCTTCTTCAGGTCCAACTCCATGTAGCTTATCTCTTTCACCAACAGAAGTTTGTCCAATAAAAGGAGATTCTCACCCACCTTGTCTCTCTAGTATTTCCATGGAAGATAGGTCCATCAATGGCTATTACCCAGGATTGGCAGGGATGGTGTCCCAACCTCTGTTTGCCAGAAACTGGGAATGGGCAACAGGGGATGGATCACTTGATGATTACCTGTTCTATTCATTCCCTCCGGGGCATCTGTCAGAAGACAGAGTACTGGGCTAGATGGACCTTTGGTCTGACCCAGTATGGCCATTCTTATGTTTTAAAGAGTGCTTTACAAACATTGTTACTCTGCAGTCTGCTATTCATTGGAACCTTCGATAAGTTTTTGGAAGGAATACTCCCTTCAGCTTATTTGAAAATACCAGGCATTAACCAAACACTAAACGATTATTGTGTAGGAAAAAAAAATACGCCACCTCCCCGCCCGATTACCACGAGCAGGCTACTTCATAACTCTACTCTACTGGGTTTCTTGCACCTTGCTCTGAAGCATTTGGTACTGGCCACGGTTGGAGATGGGATACTAGACTACATGGATCACTAATATGAGCCAGTATGTAGGAATTTCCAAAGTAAAGTGGACCCTGCAATGGAGACAGGAACTTAACACAAGGATGCACCGGTATGGAGCTTTAGTTGAGCTGGCTGTTAGTTATGTACTGTTGGGTACAGTTAGTTCTGGGAGGATACATCAACTGTCAGACACTACAAATTTCTAAAGTCCTCTCAAAGGACTGTGTTAAGTGATGGTATCTGAATGTATCTGGCAAGTAGATTAATTTACTTTTCAGTAAGGTGATCAAAAATAGAGTCATTAAGTGGTTTGGTAAGCAAGAAGTTTAAAAAAAGCAAAGCAAAGCAAAGCAAAAATTCAACATCCATTACAGAGAATGTTATCAAGTGAACTGAAGACTGGACATTAGCTCAATCTGGTCCATCAGGATTCTGTATGAATGCTACAGATCTTCTGATTGTCTTGTTAGAAGTTTAAACAGTGCCACAGTCCTCCACTGTGACTCAACGAGGAGCATCCACACAGCATTTGATATGACAGTGACTGCCATTCTGTTAACCAATGTTGACAACAACATGCAGTTCAACAAAATGCAAAGAGCAAAACTAAAGAGAAACAAATCCTACATGATTCCTTGTCATAACCAAGGTACATTAGCACAGAAAATATTGTTTACTAGCGTTCCACATTAAGATATTTTAGAATATATTATTGTACATACCAATAGACTCTTCAAATGCAAAAAGAACTTCTTTCCCATTGTCTAGGAGATCTTTTACTCTACTTCCAATCCATTTAAAACCAGGCAGTGTTTCCTGAAAAATGAAGAGGCCACGCTGTAAAAGCTACTTTTTCAATACAACAGTATCATGGAACAAGGGGAACATTTGCTGCTTTCACATAAAAATAACACCTTTCGCCCCCAGATACTTTCTTGTAAGAAGTCTTAATTATGAGGCCTGGAATGTCAGAAAACCGGAAAAGGTAAAATGATGCAAAAGGACCTCATGATCAACAAGACCAAAGAATGCTGGTAAAATCAAACAAACATAAGAATGGCCATAGTGGGTCAGACCAATGGTCCATCTAGCCCAGTGCCAGAGGCTTCAGAGGGAATGAACAGAACAAGGCAATTTATCAAGTGACCCATCCTGTTGACCAGTCCCAGCTTCTGGCTATCAGAGTTTTAGGGACAACCAGAGCATAGTGTTGCATCCCTGACCATCTTGGCTAATAGCCATTAATGGACCTACCACAAGGAACTTATTTAATTCTTTTTTGAACCCCGTTATACTTTTGGCCTTCACAAAATCTCTTGGCAACAAGTTCCACAGTTGACTGTGCGTTGTGTGAAGAAGTACTTCCTTATGTTTGTTTTAAACCTGCTGCCAATTAATTTCCACTGGGTGACCCCTGAGTTCTTGTGTTAGATACAACTAACACCTCCTTATTCACTTCTCCACACCATTCATGATTTTATAGACCTCTATCATACCTGCACCCTTAGTCATCGCTTTTATAAGATGAACAGTCCCAGTCTTTTTAATCTTCCCTCATACAGAAGCTCTTCCATACACCTAATCATTTTGGTTGCCCCTCTCTCTCTCCGTTTTCCAATTCTAATATATCTTTTTGAGATGGGGTGACCAGAACTGCATGCAATATTCAAGGTGTGGATGTACCATGGATTTGTATAGAGGCAATATGATATTTTCTGTCTTATTATCTATCCCTTTCCTAATGATTCCCAACATTCTGTTTGCTTTTTTGACTGCTGCTACACATTGAGTGGATGTTTTCAGAGAACTATGCACAATGACTCCTAGATCTCTTTCTTGAGTGGTAACAACTAATCCAGACCCCATCATTTTGTATGTATAGTTGGGATTATGTTTTCTAATATACATTACATTACATTTATCAACATTGAATTTCATCTGCCATTTTATCACCTAGTCACCCATTTTAGTGAGATTAAGTCGTAAGGCTTGGCAGTCAGCTTTGAACTTAATTTTCTTGAATAATTTTGTCTATTCTGCAAGCGTTGCCAACTCACTCTTTACCCCTTTTTTCAGCTCATAATTATGAATATATTGACTGGCACAGGTCCCAGTATAGGTAGTTGGGGGACCCCGCTATTTACCTTTCTCCATTGTGAAACATGACCATTTATTCCCACCTACCCCTTTATTTCCTACCTTTTAACCAGTTACTGATACATGAGAAGACTTTCCCTTTTATCCCAGGACTGCCTACTTTGCTTAAGAGCCTTGGTGAAGGACCCTGTCAAACACTTTCTGAAAGTCCAAATACACTATATCCACTGGATCACCCTTGTCCATGTTTGTTGACCCCTTCAAAGAATTCTAATAGATTGGTGAGGCATGATTTCCCTTTACAAAAGCTGCGCTGACTCTTCCAACATATCTGACACAGAGGTGAAAAACAATAATTCTGTTCTTTACTACAGTTTCAACTAATTTGCCTGGTACTGAATTTAGGCTTATTGGCTTGTAATTGCCAGGATCCCCTTTGGAGCTTTTTTAAATTCAGTGTTACATTAGCTATCCTTTCAGCCTCTGGTACAGAGGCTGAATTAAGCAATAGGTTACATACCAGTTAGTAGTTCTGCAATTTCATATCTGAGTTCCTTCAGAACTCTTGGGTAAGCCTGGTGACTGTTTAAGTTATCAGTTTGTTCCAAAACCCACTCTACAGACACCTCAATCTGGAACAGTTCCTAGGATTTATCACCTAAAAAAAATGGCTGAGGTGTGGGAATCTCCCTCATATCTTTGGCCTTAACTGCAGATGCAAATAATTCATTTAGCTTCTCTGCAACAGCCTTATTTTCTTTGAGTGCTCCTTTAGCACCTCCATCAACCAATGGCCCCACTGACTGGCAAGATTCCTGCTTCTGATGTACTTAAAGTTTTTGCTGTTAGTTTTTGTCCTTAGCTTGTTGCTCTTCAAATTCTTTCTTGGCCTGCCTTATTATACTTTTATACTTGATTTGCCAGAGTTTATGCTCCTTTCTAAAGCTAAGATTAAGATCAGTAAGAGACCCCAATCCAAGCTGTCATGTCAATTAGCCATGCTTAAACCCAGCAAAATCTGTTTAAAACCAGCAAATAAAGAGGCCAACACACTCCGTTTAGATTACGAATCTAAGGCACAGTGTTTCAGAATAGCATTCACTACTGCATACGTAAGCAAACACAAAAATAAATACTTGCTATAGCCCCCCCCCCCCGAAAAAGATTTAGCTCTTATGAGGAGCCTGGTGGAACAGGAGCTGGCAAACATGCACAATAGAAAGCTAAAATCTCCTTTTAAGAGATCTGACAGATGTATAAGATTAACAGAAGGACCAGTGGTAATGATACAGTAGCAGTCCTGGGTGACAGAAATATTACTCTCTGCGTACAAAAAGGGAAAATTCTGTATCATGACTGATATTGAAGGATAAAAATTTCAAACCAGATTATAATTTCTTTCAAGAGTTGAAAAATACTAAAGACTGGTCATATATATTTCTAGAATCAATATTTTCCCAACTCAAAATACAGTATTTAGTAACAGACTCCAAAATTTTCACTAGAGGGCAACAAAACTTAAGTTGATTAATAGCACAATAGTCCAGTCATTTTATACATTTTTTAGGATTTTTTTGCTCTTCATTGTTTGGAAAAATTGACAGAAAAAGCCTTCCAGGGTTTTCATATGGTCTCAACTGATAACTATATTAAACAAGACCTGACTCTTATTTAGTATATTATGTCAAACCTGTTTTTTATGTGCTTGTATTTTTTATGTGCCTGCTGATATTCACAGAGCTCTAGGAATCTGAGCAAGATCCATTGTTGGTGTAGGATCTACAAGAAAAGTTGTTCCCTTCACAGCACCCCTACATTTTTTTTATTTAGTCCTTGAGGAAGTGACACAAAATAAAAGGTATTTATAGTGTAGAAGATTCCTAATCAAGTTATGACAATTTTTAACTAAAATCTAGTTCAAAAACCTCACGTGCCAAATTAAAATACAAGTACTGTTCAAGTCAGTTTAAACCCCACTGAGTAGGTTTCATGTCATAGATCTAAGGAGGCAACAGTTTTTGCAGTATGCACTCTGGAAATGCCACAGCTTCTCTCCTTCACCCAACACAATCAAAAGGGATTCCCCTCCTCAAGGCAAAGCTTTGAGTTATTAGACCCATTTTAGGATACTGGACCTAAAAATTAACCTTGCAATTCTTTAAGGCTAGGGGGCATCACACTGCCTCACAAGACCACCTCCCAGCTCTTCACAGACAGACATTACAGTCTGCATACTCTGCAACATGGATTAGCAGGCACAGCACATGCTAATCTGCAAGGTAGACAGATGAGATCGAATGGGCAAACTGGCAGTGCCAAACAGCAGCAAAGAGTAATTTGTGTCTGGACTTTTCTGGAGGTGGAGGTAATGAGGCTACACAAAAACCTGTAGCAATCAGTTATGATAGCAATGGCTATTATATTCTTCCTGAATATAACACCTGAGGATTATAACACACACAAGCCACCCTTACTTCAAAGTGAAATCCTTCTTTAAGTGCAATCGCCTTCAGAATTTTAGAGGAGACTGTGGTTGCTAACATGTAAACGTTCTTCACATCAGCTTCTTTGGAACCGTTCGCCTTCCAGCTCCTGAACATCCACCACCCAAACAAAGCTGCCAGCTCGTTGCCGGTGAACACTTTCCAACGACCACTGCAAACAGGATGGAAACAACATCAAACAGTTCCTTCAAGTTTCTCAGAAGCCTGCATTAAGATTCAAAGACTGTACAACATATTCTGCAACCACTGGAACAGTGAACAATCGAATATGTCATTCGACCCTGAAAAGCAGCTCCACGAACAGCACACTAACAGGGCTCTGTTACCTTGTCTCAGTGTTTCCAGACCAAATTTGCTGTTTACAAGTAAAAAAGTGTTGTCTCCCTGTTACCAGCCCTTCAAGCAAGATAAATGTACCAGAAAGAACCTACCACCAATAATAATGCATCGGCAATTCACACTCCACCCTCAATTACACCTGTGCAACCCCTTTGTCTTCAATGGGGTTGCACAAGCGAAGGGGAGGCCCAGGATTTGGCCCTGCTGTTGGAACGAAGTTAACAATTCTGTTGAGAATTCAAGCGTGTTGAATAGCATCCAGCTCACTCACCCATAGCTGGATTGATTCAGCAGGGCGTGCAGGAGTCAAAAGGTAGTAAAAGTAGATCATCATCAAAAGGGCTTTGCTTACAATCACTTTTCATGACAGATCTTTAGTGAAAGGATTTAACTAATCTTGCTTAAAATGCATCATTTAGATAAAAATGTAAGAAAAAAGATGAAGACTAAAAAAAAAAATCTTAATATGATCAAATGTCACGTTGTTAGGGATGGTGGAATAAAGTGGCAAAACTAAGTGACAATCAACATCAGAGGATGGAGCAGTTAGTTCCCCTTCCCCCTCTTCTCTCAAAGGCAAGGTTAAAAAGGTCCCATTTCTTACTTCTCTTGTAGTTCTGCCACCGCCAATCTGTCTGCATCAGGATCAGTGGCCACCACCACCCTAGCGCTTTCTTTCTCTGCAAGCCTCAGAGACAACTCCTGAAAAAGGCGATTGAGCCATTATATGCAGATAGTCAAATTCATTTGTAGTCCTCAAGTGTATTAAGTCTGCTGAAATTCCACACACCCAGGTCTCTGACTTTATTACATTAACATTTCAAAACAAGTGGAAACCCAACTAAAAAACGAAGTGACTGAACTAAAGAAATAAATACCAGCACACATTCTCCTTCTTCAGGATTTGGGCATTTAACGGTAGAAAAATCTGGATCTGGATCCTTTTGTTCAGGTACTGGAATGGGAGGCTTAAAGCCAAATGCTTTAAAAGCCAACTGGACATAGTCATGACCAACGCCATGGAAAGATGTATGAATGAACTTCAAGTTGGTCTTTGTGTTCAGTTCCCTGAAAAAGAAAAACAGCCTTCAATTAACATTATAGGTTATTTCACAAAATGCTGCGACATCATGAACCATGGTGAAATGCCAAGACAATGCGACTGAAGTTTACAGTAACGCTGCCTTTCTGCAGATGTCTAATGTGTCTTCAAAGAAAGTGTGAAAAAGGAAAGTTTCAACTGTAGGCATTCAATAAAGATTGCTGGCTCAATTCTTCCTCTCTCTGGAAACTTGGATCTTTACTCTACCTCTGCTGCTTGGAAGTTCCTAAAAATGAGACATTTACTTCCCTCTGCATCAGACTCGGGCTCTTTATCGGAAAGAGTGATCAGCCTGCTGTGCCTGGCAAAAGCAGAAGGCAAGGGCTAAATCAGCTAGTTTAAGGTAATGAATTCACCTACATATGGGGCAAAAAAATGTATCACAGAAAAGCTGTATAAAATCCCCTTAATTTAGTCCATCCTTTACCCTCACTCCAAGTTGATTGCATATAGTACTTTTCCAACCCTTATTTTTAAAGTTTGACCTACATTTGTCATTGCTGGTCAGAAGCCATTACACTTTGACAAGTTTCTGAAGTGAACCCTGCATCAGAGTGTGGGAGTTATGTTATACTCTTCTCATACAGCACCTGTGATAGCAGATCTTTTTCAGGTCTTCCATATAGATTTTAGAAATTTCCTCCAGAGGATCTTGTGTAAGAGGACTGGTGTCTACTAGATTCTCATTCCAGGAACCATTCCATGGTTCAACACATTCTTCTATACATTTCAGGATCTCTTTGTCATGAGGAGATGTGATCTGAGCTCCATTTTCCCAATAAACCTGGCATAAAAAAACCTGACACTTAGAACTGCATGTTACATGGATGAAATTGACCCTTTATAAAGGCACATGATCTTACGGTTACATAAGGTCCTATAGTAAGCAAGAAACTTGTAGCAAAGCAGAGTATCAGACTGGTTTAGTTCTCTGGAACTTTTTGGGGATCACTCAGGCCAAAGTTTTCAAGTATCTAACTTTAGATATGTAAATTCATAATTAGGTGATCTGATTTCAGAGCTGTTGAGCACCCAGGCCCCCCCACTGAAATCAGACTATGGATGCCTAAAGTCAGGTACCTATGTTTTAAAATATTAACCTCAAAGTCTTGCATGAAGAAAGCCAACTACCACTTTTATAAAATCCTACTTCCTTTAAAAAAAAAAAGCAACTTCAGGCTCCCTCCCCCCACTGGCAGGCTCAGGTTCCAGGCTCTGGCCCCAGGCGCACCAGCCCTGCCATTGTCCCTGGGCCCCGCTGCCTCCCTGCCCGCCTCCCTCCCTATCCAGGGCTTAATTTGTCCCAGGGCTTGCCGGGGCTGAGTAAGTCTGCTGTGAAAAGTGATATTAACAAACGTACAAAGATCACTTTTCACAGCAGACGACTTACCAGCTAGCAAGTCTTAGAAGAAAAAAAAAAGCGCAACCTAAAAAGCAAAAGAAACAACAATAAAAAGACAAGAACATGCAAAGCACCTTATTTGTGTTTCTATTCTGTTTAGGCCCGTAAAGAAGAGAGACAACTGTAAATTATTTTTACTACCCTACATAAATAAACTACAATGATTTGGACATGTGCATATTTATTTGTTTTTCCTAAAGTTAATTAAGAATTTTAGGAAAAATTGTCAGCGCAGCCACCAGTAAAAGTTGGTGGCCACACTCTGAGGCCATCAAAAAATGTGTTGTGAGAACCCTTGATCAAGGGGACATACAGTGTATACTTGGTAAATCAACTTATCTGTCACAAATTTGAAAAAAAAAAAAAAAAAAAAAAAAAAAAAAACAAGTATCCATTGTCCTCCTTACGGTTATGGGATGCTGTGATCATCACACCAGCTGCAGCTTTGAGCTGCCGAACAGCATAGGGCTGAAAGACAAAAGCAATTTAAGTTCACTGCTTCTGAGCTGACATAAATACATAAAGGTATAAAGTCAGTTAAGGGGTAAGTAATACAGGTTCTTAAAATTTCACAAGCTGATTTCAAAGGTATCATTTGAACAGTCGGACAACCAGCTCCCTGTGTGTCCTGTTATCAGCAATGGGTTGTGCAAGAGAAAGCATGATCAGAGTTACTCTGCTAAATTAACATTCCCATATTAAACTTCCAAAACAGATAATCTCCTGGAAGTACTCCCAAGCACAAAACTTTTTAATATCTTATGGTGAAGAAAAGCCTCCACTTAGATTGCACATATTGGAGGAGGACAGAAAAGACTGGAGCAACTATCAAGAAGTCAAAAACCATTCGTATCCATGAAGGACTTCACCAAAATATTTGGTAAGCTAATACATACAGCTAAAGAGAGATTTTAAAAGTTATAGAAATGAAAATCACAATCCAGAAGGCAGAGAGAAGCCATCCATCACGGATCAATAGTAATTTTGTTCTTCAGTATGGAGGAATTAATTCACAGGCTCTCAAACTGTGGTCCACAGTATTCAGGTGGTCCGCGGATAGTTCGCTCTAAGGTGTGCGCCTGGTCAGCTGCACATGAGAGAATAAAGGGCCACCCACCTAATTAGTGGAGCTACACAGGCATGGCTCCACTAATTAGATGCCTGCACCCTGGAGAAGATGCACATGTAAGGTAAGGTGGCCTTAGGGGAATAGAGGGTAGGTGGGAGGGGGCGGTGGGGTGAGAAGAAGGGGTGGGGAGAATTTGGGACATGCAGGGCTGTGGCACTCAGAGAACGAGGCGACTTTCCCCAGCTCCAGAGCTGAGGCTGCCGGGGAGAGACCCCCCTCCTTCCCAGCCCCAGCTTGGGGGCTGCCATGGCTGGGGAGAAAGGGAGAGACCCCCCTCCTTCCCTGCCCCAGCTCTGAGGCTGCCGCAGCCAGGGGAAGAGAGAGAGAGACCCCCCTCCTTCCCAGCCCCAGCTTGGGGGCTACCACAGCTGGGGAGAGAGGGCACATCCATCTCATTAGAAAGGTAAGACTACTGATATTAAAATATGAGTTGTGTGCTTTTATTTGTAGAACAAAAGCAGCTTTTATTATTAAGCTTTTTTAATTAGGGCTTTTATCCGAAGTGCTTTATAATAGTTAGCTAACGGTACAAACATCATTTGGAAAGATCACTAAATGGCCCTCCGAGACCCTCAGCAATTTTCAAGTGGTCTGGGGAGAAAAAAAAAATTGAGAACCTCTGAATTGATAATACCAAGGTTATAGATGCTTGTGGTTGCTCCCACCTGTGTAACCTAAATTCAATATACTAGGAATGGAGTTCATAAAAACACACTAGCAAAATTCAGGAAACTGAGAAACCTAATCGGAATATTAGTACCCATAGTACCAGTCATACCCACAAACTGGGGCCCAGTCACTAAAATGACGGGCACATTACAAATGCTGATCCAAGTGGAAGCCCCAGTGCAGAAGATATTTAGAAGTTTAAAATGAAAAATACACTGCAGCGAACAATCCTTCATTTCCTCTACCAACCCTGGGAAGAGTCTACAGGTCCCAATCCTGAGAATGCTCAAATACAAGAAGACCCATTGAACTCAGCAGAACTACTTATGTGTGTAATAATTTGTACAATAAAGGTATAAGGGACCTGTTTTCCATCTTGAATTATAGGCCAAATTTTGCTCAGTTATACATTTCTCACTGCAGTAACTCTACTTAAATCAATGGAGTTACTATGGATTTAATACTAGTGTAACAAAACCGAATTCAGCCCTATGATTTCTTAAGTCTTCCTAAGGAGTGTTTAGACTTGAAATTAGACGAAGGTTTCTAACCATCAGAGGAGTGAAGTTCTTGAAAAGCCTTCAAAGGGGAGCAGAGGGGACATATCTAGCTTCAAGACTAAGCTTGATAAGTTTATGGAGGAGATGGTATGATGGAATAGCCTAATTTTGGCAATTAATTGATCTTTGACTATTAGAGGTAAATATGCCCGATGGGATGTTAGATGGGGTAGGATCTGAGTTACTACAGAGAATTCTTTCCTGGGTGTCTGGCTGGTGAGTCTTGCCCACATGCTCAGGGTTTAGCCATATTTGGGGTCGGGAAGGAATTTTCCTCCAGGGCAGATTGGCAGAGGCCCTGGGGGGTTTTCGCCTTCCTCTGCAGCATGGGGCCCGGGTCACTTGCTGGAGGATTCTCTGCACCTTGAAGTCTTTAAACCATGATTTGAGGACTTCAATGGCTCAGACAGAGGTTAGGGGTTTGTTACAGGAGTGGGTGGGTGAGATTCTGTGGCCTGCGCTGAGCAGGAGGTCGGACTAGACGATCATAATGGTCCCTTCTGACCTTAAAGTCTATGAGTCTATGAAATGTTCCACTTCTAGCCTATTCTTCCATTTGCATTCTGGCATTCTGACAAGAAAAATATTTAGCTAAAATTAAGATGACAGCCTTGATGAAATGCTAAAAACATTAGCTGTGTTAGAATGAATGAAGTGTAAAAGACTTACCACAAAGGGCGTAGGAACGTATTTTGAAAACAAGTACACAGGTACACCTTTCGCAAGCAGGACTGCTGCAGTAAGCTTTGCAAGTCTATTGAACAGGAAAAATATTCAGTGAATCAGGGGAGGGATAGCTCAGTGGTTGGGGGAGGGATAGCTCAGTGGTTTGGGCATTGGCCTACTAAACCCAGGGTTGTGAGTTCAATCCTCAAGGGGGCCATTTAGGGAACTGGCTTAAAAAATCTGTCTGGGGATTGGTCCTGTTTTGAGCAGGGGATTGGACTAGATGATCTCCTAAGGTCCCTTCCATCCCTGATATTCTATGATTCTATTATCCACAATACTGTTCTAAAAGCCCCAATCCAAAGAACAAGTTCTTTTTCTGCCTTCTCTCAAGATGTTCTTATTATAGAATCATAGAAATGTAGGGCTGGAAGGGACCTTGAAAGGTCATCTAGTCCAGCCCCCCTACACTGGGGCAGGACTAAGTATACCTAGCTAACCCTGATAGGTGCTTTGTCTAACCTGTTCTTAAAAAGCTCAAATGACAGTGAGTGTCTAAGGAGCTGCTAGAGAGACAAGGCAGGTGGGGTAATATATCTTTATCGGACCAACTTCTATTGGTGAAAGAGACCAGCTTTTGAGCTTATACAGAGCTCTTCTTCGGGTCTGGGAAAGGTACTGTCACAGCTCAACACAAGGTAGAATAGATTGTTTCACATGAGAGAGTTAAGGTAAAGTGGGCAGTTAACACCTCAAAAAAAAACACCCAACAAAAGAGGGCTGGTTAGTAGGTTACAGATTGTAGTAATAAACCATTCATCCAGTGTCTTTATTCAGTCCATGATTATTCTCGTCTAGCAAAGTTATGAATTTAAGCTCCCAGGCTTAAATTTTGAAGGTGTTGTGATGGTTTATTTTGAGGACGACGACTGGTAGGTCAGATATAGAATGATCATTTTGTGACAAGTGACAAAGGGTCCTGTGGCACCTTATAGACTAACAGACGTATTGGAACATAAGCTTTTGTGGGTGAATACCCACTTGGTCAGACGCATTTTGTGGCAATTGTTCACCCACAGGCGATATGGTGTTTTTGTCTTAACATTTTTCAGTGTGAGTTCATTCGAAAAAGTACTTGTCTGGTTTCACCCATATAGTTGCTGTTGGGGCATTTAGTGCACTGGATGAGATATACCATGTTGTGAAAGACATGTGAAGGACTCATGGATCTTGAAAGGTGTGTTTTGGGGGTGGGGGAGGAGAGAAGAGAATTGATTGTTGTAGGAATGGAGATATGTCTACAGGTTTTGCATCTGTTCTGTCAGTGTCTAATGCCACTTTGAGATGATGTGTCTCAGTCTGTGGGGAGCTTGCTTCTGATGAGCTTAGCAAGGTTGGGGGGGGGGGTGATTGAAGGCCAGAAAAGGGGGTTTGAGAAAGATTTCTTTCAGGATGTGGTCATCATCAAGTATGGGCTGCAACTCTTTGATGATACCCTGTATGGGGTGGGAGGTGTGTGTGGGGTGGGAGGTGACAACTCAGAGTGTAGGCGCCGACTCCATAGGTGCTCCAGGGCTGGAGCACCCACGGGGAAAAATTAGTGGGTGCTCTGCACCCAATCTCCCCCTCCTCCCCTGAGCACGCCACGTCCCTGCTCCTCCGCCTACTTCCCAGCGCTTCCTGCCTTGCTGCTGCCAAACAGCTGTTTGGCAGTGTGCTAGGAGGGAGGGGTAGGAGGTGGGGAAGAGATGGGGCTGGGGCGGGGATTTGGGGAAGGGGTTGGAATGGGGGTGGGGAAGGAGTGGGTGGGGCCGGGGGCAGAGGGGGGTTGAGCACCCACCAGTGGGAGCAGAAGTCGGCGCCTATGACTCAGAGGGATATGGTCTGAGGGTTTTTCCCATATCAAAGTAGGTTCCCATAGACTATTTGGGTGGCCTGTTCCATGATGCTATCTACTTCTCCTTGTGTGACGGGGTCCTGGGGTGCAACCTGGATTGCAGGACCACTGATGTCCTCCAAACCCACCAAGCCGGGTTGCCCCTCACACTGTGATGCTGATGTCAAGCTACAAACTTCTGAAAGGCACTGCACTTACACAGACATCCACAGGCAGGGACACACCCAACTACTGTGTTACACGAATGATCTCACAGCCACTCATGAACCAATAGAGAGGCACCAGCCAATTCCCCCCAGCTCCAGCTCTACACCCCAGAACTGTACCATCTAGCAATTAGTTTGCCACTTCTTCATAGGAAAGTGGACATGCACCAGCCTTTGTAACCTGAGCCAATTTCCCAAGCACTTTAGACAAACTCATTGGTAAGGATAAAACATTAAAATAAGTTTATTAACTACAGAAAGATAGCTTTTAAGTGATTATAAGCGGTAGGCATAAAGGTCAGAAATGGTTATCTTAAAAAATAAATAAACATGCTTTCTAAAACCTCAACTTTTAGTCTAAGCAAGTGTTGAAGCAAACAGCTTTTCTCACCCTGACAGATGGTACAAGCAGGTTACAGTTCCTCAATACACAGGCTGGGACTACCTTCCATCCTGGAACCAAAAATTTCCCCAGTTCCAAGTCTTTGTCCTTCAGACGTTCTTCCAGGTGTTGAGTTGGGGAGGTTAGAGAGAGGCCAAGTGATGTCACTGTCTCTCTTTTATACTTTCTTCCAGCTTGCTGGAATGATCTTTGCTGTGACGTGGGTTAGTCCACCCCCATGGCGTACATGCCTTCTCCGAGAAGTCTTAGGATAATGGATTGTGTGTTGATGAGCCATTAATGCTGTCTGGCTATTGATGGCTTCTCCTTTATTATAAATAAGGCTGGCTGTGGGTGTTCCCAACCTCACAACATATGTCAGTAACATATATAGTAATACTTCATAAATTCACATACAATGATAGTACATACAACCCAACACTTATTATTATTCAACAGATCAAGACTTACAAAATGATACCTCACAAGGCATACTTTGTACAAAACACACCATAATATCACAGTGGTGAATATGGGGGTTCCAGGGTGATACTTTGAGGTATAGAGTATCATATCTTGTTTGAAGAAGGTGGTTTAAGGGCGTGTCTTGGACTTTCTCCTTGGAGCATGTTCTGGGGTACCTGAGTACCTGGCTGTAGGTAACATTTCTTGGTGTGGGGGGATGCTTATTAGATCTGTGAAGGTAAGTCTGGTGATCCATAGGTTTCTTGTATATAGTGTTTGTAGGGTTCCATTGCTGAAGTTGATCATGGTATCCAGGAAGTTGACGCTGCTTTGGGAGCGTTGTAGAGAGTTTGATAGATAGTTGAAGTTATGGTGGAAATTTAGGTCATCTGTCCAGAGGATGAACACATCAATGTATCTCAAGTATACAATTGGTTTCATGGTGCATTTGTCCAGAAATTCTTCCTTGAGGTGACCCATTATGTGGCTGGCATATTTGGGAGCCATCCCAGTACCCATGGTTTGAACAAAGTGTCTGTTGAATATAAAATGATTGTAAGTGAGGATGAAATGGATAAGTTTGGCAATGTGTTTGAGGTGGATATCAGAGTTGTTCATTAGTCTTGCAGATATTTGAGGCAGGCAGCAATGCAATCAGGGTTACAGATGTTGATGGACAGGAGGTGACATCCATGGTGACACGGACAGTGTTGTGAAGGAGGCTGTTAATGTTATGGAGCTTCTGGTGGAAGTTGGCGTGTCCTGGATAAAACCGGCCCTTTGTGTGGTGAACTGTTTGAGGATGTTTTTTGTGAGTCCTGATATTCCTTCAGTAAGAGTGTTGTAGCCAGATAAGATGGATCTGCCTGGTTTTCCTTATTTGTGTATCTTGGGAAGCATGTAATAGGTCCCTGGAGGGAAAAGGGTTCACGAAGGGCAAGGCTGTAGAGATTCTCTTGGAGTGGTTTGGGGGAAGGAAGGATTTGATGACATCCTTAAACTCCTGGGTGAATAGTAGTGTGCAATCTTCTTTGATTTCTTTATAGTAGGTGATGTCAGAGTTGTCGGTTGGCCTTGTTGATGTAGGTCATTGAGGTTGAGAACTACAATAGCACCTCTTATCTACTGGCTTGATCACTATCTTGTGGTTGGATTTCATGGATTGTATAGCTATCCTCTCAGCAGTGGAGAGATTGTGGTGGATGTGACGTTAACGATTTCAGTCAATTTTTTTCCTGAAGCAATCAACGTAATGATCAAGTGTGTGGTTTCGTTCTCTGTGAGGAGTCCAGTCAGATGTTTCTTTTTTCTTATGACTATCAGTGGGGACGTGGTAGTTTTGGGTGATGTAGTCTTTGTTGTGAAAGAATTCTTCTAGTTCTCCACGTTAGTATGGTATCCGGTTCTGTGATGGAGATGATCAGTCCCTTGGTGAGTACACAGAATGTGGTTCTAGTTAGGGGTTTTCTTGATAAGTTGATGATGATAGGGTGTCGCTTAGCATCCGTGTGGTGAGTCCTGGTTTCTCTTGGAGATGGTGTTCTGTGGGTTGTGGAGTTGTTGTAGTTGGTTTCCCCTTTTTGTTTTTGTGTTGGATGGCTGTCATCAGGTTTTTTGATATTTTGGGTTTCTTGCATGATCTCCAGGCAGGTTTCCTTGGTCATCCTTCCAGTGTGTGGGAAGCATGTAATGATTTCTTGTTTGAGGTAGTTCCTTCTGGAGATGTGAGGTACAGGAGATGGTTCCTCAGTTTTTTCTGAAGTCCTTCTGCAGAGCTGTTCAGCATATTTGAAGTTGTATGTAAGGATCAGAGGGTTATAGATGGTGACTCCTCTGGGGATGATGTTTTGTTTCTTGCATTTGCTCAAGAATTCAACGTCACTGGGAAGTTTGGTTTCATTTTTCTTCGTGTTGTGGAAGAGTTTTGATATAGAGCATACATAATTTACATCATCTTGGAATGGAAAAAGTGTTTTCCATGCATGTTGATTTCTAATTCCCTCTTTAATCTCATTCATGTGTGTATTATAACATACGTACAACATTCATTAAATCAGCCCTATTCATATATTCAGCTTTGAATCTAACATGTAACATGAATATAACACATAATGAAACCATCAATAAGTCCACATAACAAACCTAAATAGTCATATGACATTATTGTAACCCTCACTTCACTGGTCTCCCACTTCCGTCCACTGTTTGATCCTTTCACTAACTGCGACATGCCTATAATTAGATTGTAAACTCTTTGAAGCAGTGTTTTGTCATTTTATTTGCTTGTAAAGCGCCTTGCAATCAACATCACAGTCAAAAGACATACAAAGGTTCAAAGCCTCCGGTTGTTTGAGAACCATATCTGATCACAGAAGCACAAATCTAAGCTCCATGGTACATGTTTCAAAAATGCCAAATTCCTACAACAAAAGCCTTTCGAGGGGTAAAAAAATAGATCTTGGTAACCAACACAGGTTGGCGGTTTTTAATGCTGTTCAGCAGTTTCAGATGATTCCGATAAAGTAGATCAATATACTACTCCCAAAATAAACTTCAATAGGCCAGCAATCTCCCTTATTCCAATCAGTCTAAAAACAGCTACAGAAATTCACACAGTCATTAGCTTTACTGACAGACAGACAGACCTTACTTTAAAATAATCCTTTCATTAGGGCTAGCGGGAACTTTAGTTCAATTTCAACAAACAGTTTGTCTTTGAAACAACAACAACTTCACAGGTATTTATAACCAGAAAATTATTTGCACTTTGATCATTAAAAATGATGGGAGGGGGGGTCATTGTAAATGAACAAACAGGCTATGAAAATTAAGGATCCATACATACCATGTTTACTTTGTTCACTTTTTTGACAGTGAAGTGTAATTTAATTTTTTAATCACATGATAGTGTAATAGTAAGTAACATATTGTAAAGCAAGAGTCCCAGTAATATGATCAAGTGAGAATTAATCATGTTACAGGAATTCTCTCTCTGCATTTCAAACCATATATTACCCAAGTAAAAAAAAAAAAGGCAAGGATACTAAATCAGTTTTTTTGAAGTTGTCTACCAGCCTAGCTGAGCTATTTTAGTAAAATCAGCAGCATTAAGCACCTTTATATTTGTAGAAGTTTGGATTTTTTTTAAGCATGAAATTAGAAAAGACTCCTCATTTGTGTGACCGTGTTAATGCCTGCATACTGCTGAGACAAATCAGTGTATGATGCTACAAGAGGTATCACAATAGTTACACAGGGTTGAAGGAGGAATTACTCCTTTTCCACATGAAAGTTTAAATCAGATGTGTAGTTTGACAGAGTTAGGACTACAGTTTTGCAATAAAACTCAATACAGACACACTGATAACCAGTCGTGCAGTTTTTTGATGTATTCAAGTTAAGGGCTTAGTATTTTAAGTTTCCTTTCACACTTAAGTCTCACACACACAGTGATTTCTGCATCATGTGACTGTCTTGCTGTTTAGAGTGCTTGTGCATTTACATGGTCTACTCTTTTGGGGCAAGGACTGTCTTTGTTATGGGTCTGTACAGCACCTAGCACTAGGGGTCCATGACTAGGACTCTTAGGCACTACGGAAACAAAGAGAGAATACACTAAATTCCTGATAAATCCCCCATATGAAGAGAAACATTCTAAGCCAGACTTAAAATTCTAGTCTTTCAAATGGAATCAATCCTCATACCTCTTACTGCTGCAGCTGCTGGTCACCTGACCTCGCGTGTCATATCCAACAACGAAGCCTCTCTGCCTGAAGTCTGAAAAACACCTCTCAAGGTATTTGTACATTCCCTGCAGCAAAACAGAAGCATGAAGAGTTAGGTCCATGATAGTGCACACAGCTCAAAGATTACTCTGTTTAGAATTCATTATGCCACAATAATGGGAATAAGACTTGCTTCACTAGAGCTGGGTTAATGATAAAAAATGAGCATGAATAAGCATTGGTTCAAATAGACAGAAAATCTGCTTTAATGGCATTTGCAGTACAAGTACATTTTTGTTCCTAGAGTGTTCACAGGAAGAGAAAGGTTGCAAATACCCATGAGAATCTAGTCAGGGAGCAGAAACAGATGACCAGACAGAAAATTAGGTAACAAATCCTTGAAGCAGCAAATACTTGAGATTAATCCACAGGATGAAACATGCTCAAACCATCTGTCAGATAATTGTAAATAATGAACCAATTCATAAAAGAAAAATCTGAATAATTCACACACACACAAAAGGGCTACCTTTGTTATATAAGTAGTTCACTTAAGTCTTCATGCTTGTGTTTAGAGCACAATCTACGGAACAGAAGATGTACTAGTTCTCACTTCTTATCTAAAGTAAATTATCCTTTCAACACTGCACATTACTATAGAAAATGTGACTCCGTATACAACAGTCTTTCATTACAAGTGAATTTACACACCTACCCCAATGGTGAAGCAGTTATCTCATAAGTGTATTTAGTTCACCCTGTTTATCTTTAATAGGATATTTACTACTGATAATGCTAACATTAAAAATATGTCTAGCATGGTCTGAATATTAAGTTATTTACTATTTAGATATTAGAAGTTGTTTATGGCAATTGTTGCTATGTAGCAAATGTATCTAGGAGCACTGATGCATCCAGTAAGCACCATTTTGATCCCCAGTGGTGAGAGGCCCTCTCTTAGAATGAAAATGAAAAGCTGCCAATTCCAAAGTGTTTTCTATAATGTCACCATCTTATTGGATCTAGCTTGAACCAACTGCTTTTCTCAAAACTTCCAGTTTCCTTCAGACAGTGGAGGATATGGGAGATGGCACTGCCTGCACTAGAAGACAGAATGATTACTTACCTTATAGTAACTGTGGTTCTTCAAGATGTCAGCTAAGATGCATCTCCAATTCTAAATGACTGATGAGCAGAGGCCCATTTGGAAGATGGAATTGAGGAGTCCTGCTTGCCACTAACTGCCTTCCAAAATTCAGGTATGTGGATGTTTCTAAAGCACACTTTAGTGGAATAAGCTTTGATACCAGCCATGTGATAGCAGCCTGAAATGCACCGTAATCCACTTAGGTTCAGATATTATCTCGGAAACTACTTGTCCCTTAGAAGCACGAGAAATGGCAACAACAAAAACAACAACAACAACAACAACAAAAGACAGGAAGTGTCTGAAGGGCTCTGTCCTATCACAGGCCTAAAAACATCTAAAGTGGGAGAATTTCTTCTCCACTGGAGAGGAATGGGGTTTTGGAATGAAGACAGGTAGATTGGTTCTAATAAGTGTGACAAGTTCAGAAATAAATTTGGGATGAGGTCTCAACAACCACCTTATCTTTACAGAATATTGTGTGAAGGGTCAGCCATGACAGCTTGTAATTCAGTGGTGGGGGGTTAATTTGAAGGATCAGCAGTTGACTCCTGGAGAGAGGGAAAGAAGATTCTTTGGCTGGTTTCTGTGAGGAGAGGAAGCTCCACTAGGTTCTCTAAAGCGTAGAATGTCCCTTTCAGTGCAAGTACTAGAAAAGTTACTGACCATTGTTCTGTTTGTGTTATGTCTAGTCAGGTTAAATAAATGTACTGTTTATCAAACCAAGCAGTTGGAAGTGTAGTCAGTTGGTGGGTTTTGGAAGGGAGTTGCTAGGCCCTCGAAAACAGAATTAGGGTAAGCAGCCAAGATAGGCACGTATCCCGAGAAGACTAGGGAGGTTAAATGGCTGCACTAGTGATCCACAGACCCTGATAAATATGGTGTGTGCCCAGGAAGGGGCAGGTCATGACAAGAAGGTTTTATGTGTAGCCTCATGTCCTTTTGGGATGCAGGTCCTTGTATATGGAGGTGGTCCAGGTATGCACTGCACCCTGTTCCTGATACAGCTGTGATCAATGTCTTTGTAGGCAGTAGTGTGGAGAAGGGTACCGGCTGGTTTGACCACCTGTTCGGTGCTGACAGACTGGGAGCCCAGAGTAGAACTGGCATGCTTATTTGATGTTTTGCAGCATGATACATTGACTTTAGCCAGCCTTTAATGCACATAGATGAAGTCTGCTTAGTAATGTCACATATGTGCAAGCTAACATGTGGCTCAGAAGTTTGTGGCAGGTTTTTTCTGTGGTGTCAACCATCTGGATAGAGCAAAATCTATACTTGGGAAAATACATTTTTGCTGATTTTGAATAGATTGACGTTTCTAAAAACTGATATACGCAGAGAGATTTTTCATAGTTTACCATGTGGCTCAGCTGTCTGAATTCAGCCAATCATCCAGATATGGAAAATGTGAATGTCATCTCTCCTTACATGTGCTGCCACAACAATTAGGCATTTTATAAAAAAAATTTACTGTGGAGAGACCATATGGCAGCACTTCGTATTGCTAATGACTGGGCCCTACTGTGAATTGTAGATGATCTACCATGGGTTGGATGGATTGAGATAGGAAAGTGAGTGTCATGGAGGCAGAGAGCCACAAACCAGTCTTGAGTATGAAGAGAGCATATGGCGGAAAACTGTACCATTCTGAATCACAAAACTGGATCAGACAAGGCTCCCCTTTCTTCTTTGGAATAAGGAGATATCAAGAACAGAAAACGTCCACTGAATTCCAAAAAGGTACCTCTCCTAGGGCTCCTAGAGGAATCAGAGAAGCCACTTTTAGTTTATTTTCATCAGAAGGGTCCCTGAAGAGAGATGGGTAGGAGGCAAGGAACAAACTGGATGGAATAGTCCTATGAGACAACTTTCAGCACTTTTTACTGCAGCCTGATGGAAGAAAGCAAGCCAATATCCAAAAGGTAGGATTTGGGGATTGCTTGTCTGATCGGTATCAAGCCTGCAGTCTGAAAAGCAGATGAAAGTTAACCAGAAACTGAGAAAGATGGTCTCCTCCAAGAGAAGCTCTACTTCTTTCCAGGTGGGTATGCAGAAAACCATTGCTAAGGGTATGCAGGTGTCTTCTGTATAGATTGCCCTTGGTATTTAAAAGCTTGCAATTTGGGGTAGAGATGTAGATACCCAATGAGCAAAGTGTAGTCCTGGTGCCTTTTAAGAAATGTAACTTCATCTGTATGTGCACACATAAGGGTCCGTGCTCTTAAAGGGTTAGTCCTCAACTGTATTTTGCAGCTCCCAAGGGATTCCAGAGGCCTGTAACCATGATTCTCTGCACATAAGTCTCCACCATGATCCAGGATCTATGGCTGTCTGTACAGATGCTCTTGCCACAAGCTGGCCTTCAGCAATGATGGCTTTTAACTCTGGATTCCTGAAGTTCAGCCAAGAAGGGGGTACAGTTATCTGATTTAGAATAGGGTATTTTGTAAATAAGGCTTGATAACTGATGACCAAGTTGAGTGTTGCTGACAAATAAGCCTCTCTTTCAATGACAGCTAATTTCTTTGGGTGCTTGCACACTGGTCTTGTCCTGGACTGCAGAGACCTCTAAAGAATCCAGTGTTGGACAGATGCTCCAACCATTTTGTGGTATTTGATACTTCATTTCTGCTCTTAGTTGGTGGTGGTAAAGTTGCTGGTATCTGCCACAGGGGTCTAGGTTGGTTCTAAGATGCCCTCATTAATTCACAGTGCTATTCTTGAAGGAGTGGAAGAATACAGTATTTCAAAAAGCTCACAAGTTTTTGCTTCAATTACTGGGTCTCTATTTTGAGTGTCTCTGCAACATGAGGGTAGCAGCTTCATGGAATGCTCTGAAGTCATCAGAAGTCAGTCTAGGAGTTGAAGAAACTTGTCAGGAGAGGACAGCGATGGGTCTCTGGGAGAAGATTAAGAAGGGTGTTGCTCAGGACGCTTTAGACCTGTCTGTTCCTCCAGCAGAAGGGGAGTGTGACCTCTATTTGCTGACATGGTAGGAGGGAGATTGCCTCCTGGCTGCTCTAGACAGATCCCCAGTATATGCCTATGGCTAAGGTGGAGCATTGTAGGGATAAAGATGGTTCTGGTAAGGCTGACCAGGCCATTACCATGGCTAAGGCAGATGAGTCGAGGCTCTGGAGTGTCCCTGTATTTAGGCAGAGACCTTCCCTTGTGCTTTAGGATTGAAGAGAAGACCCCCTGCTAGACAGCAGAGAGAAGGTGTGTCCCTGGTGATGGAGATGAGCAATGAGCTTCCTCCAGAGGTGGTGCCAATCTTTGAGGTGACTTCTGTATCATAATGCTGGAGAGGCAAGTGTAGTGTCATCGGTGCTAAGGGCGATGTCAGAGACATGACAAACATCCTCTAACACTGAATTAGCCGGGACCATTAATGCTTCCATTGTCTGTACTGGTGACAGTACAGTGTCTATGCAGGTGCCAATGGCTAATTGCCACTAGTATTGTCAAGTGTAGGCACCAAGTAACTTGTGCCTCTTCAATGGTGAGCTGGAGATAGAGCCAGCATCCTCTGCCCCTACTGAACAAGCGGGATTAGTGCTCTGTATCTCAGAGGAGAGCAAGGGTTTGAACTTCTTGTGGGAAGAATGGGAGGGTGATCAGTGCAAGGAGCCATATCTCTCCGATGTTCAGATTTCCCTTGCCTTGGTGAGGTGGTGGTACTGGTCCTCTATGCTTGAGTGGCTGTTGGTACCAAGGTGGTCTTCAGAGGTCTCATATCAGGGCACAGAAGAGATCAGATCCATCTGGAGGTTGATCCTTGCTCGTGTCTGAATTCCCTTATTGATTGTTTGAGAAAGCATAGCTTAAGCTGAGTGTCCCAAGACTTTGCTGCTCGGTGTAACACGGTTCCTTTTCAACAAGGACAATCTGGCACATGGCTCTCACCAAGATAAAGACAGTTGCTGTGGCAGTCTG